TTTTTTATCAGTGTCAGAGTGTCAGATCAAGTCCAAACATGCTCGAGTCCGAGACAAGACCAAGAGTGCAAAAAATGGTGTAGTATTTGAGACCGGCCTCGAGTAAGCAAGTAAGTTTTTTATTTATATAATGCTTTTCACAGACATTTGTCACAAAGACGCTTTACAGTGCATTCAGTCACTCCTTACCCGGTGGTGGTAAACTACTATTGTAGCCACAGCTGCCCTGGGGCAGACTGACAGAATCGCGGCAGCCATGCCAGTCTGCGCCATCTGTCTCTCCGGCCACCACCTTAACTCACTCCCACACCACTTTCATACTTTCATACTAGACAATTTGGGTGAAGTGTCTTGCCTAAGGACACAACGACAGTTACTGTGACTGGTGCCCCACTGTGGCACCTGATTTTCCCTGTGGTCTCCCATCCAAGTACTAACCAGACCCGGCCTTGCTGAGCTTCTGAGATCTGACAGGTTCAGGCTTTGACAAGCTGGTATGGCCACATACCGGCTTGAGTACTACAACACTACTGTCTGTATCTCCAAAACTCAAAATGCTCTGTTCTACCTTGTGATGTCACAAAGTGGTAGTTTTCAAGATAACAGCTACCTTTTATCTTTTCTTCAGTAGAGATGGGCAATTTCAGGGATGACCAAATGATTCTGGTGAAGGTGTATGGAGTTTTAAAATACTTTCGGCTAGAGCCAACCGATATTATCGGCCGATATGAGCAACCAAACCATATCGGCCAATATACTTGCTGATAGGGGCCGATATTTCACGTGGGCATGTTATACCTCGTTATAAATCTTTGACTCTCTACATTATGTTCATTTAATCCAATTTACAGACAGATAAACTGTCCAAATATGTGGCTCTGCATCAGTATTTATCTGCTGGAGTCATTTGTCAGGTGTGTGTGTCTGTACTGTCCTTGAACACACCCCCAGAGTCACGTGCGTTTGTTTACACCCGCAGGCATAGATCCATGTGCACAACACTGAGATTATATTTGTTTTTATGGACAATCGGTTTGAGTCTGGATTAAAAGGACATTTATTAGTGCAGACTTGTGATGTGAGGAGGAGCCTGTGTGAGCGGCTGAGTGTTGATAATATGTCGACTTTGAAACTGGTTTTGGTTCGTTCTGATAGGTTAGCGATTAGCTGCTGTAGCTCTCACACTTAAACAGGCTGTTTCTTTTGGCCTATTGTAAAGTGACTATATTGGCCGTATATTTGCTACTGGACCTGCATTGATATGTAAATGAGCTGTAAATAGACGTGTGAATGATGAAATTTGCGCATATAATTGAAGTGAACGACGGGAGCCTGATCCTTATTGGGAGCCGTGTTTTCTCTTTCTCTCACTTTTTTTCTCTTCACACCGCGTGCAGACTCATGGTAGTTTGATAGCGGCAGCAGCCTTAAAACGAAACTTTCAAAAATATATGCATATATATATATATATTCAGCATAAAATAAATAAACCAGGACTAATCTTGGGGTCGAGAGAGGGAGAGAGATAGAGACCGAGTCCCGACACTCATTCCTGGTTCAGTTCTGGTTTAGTCCTGTTTTACACATGGTTTAGATATGTTTTAGTCATGGTTTAGTCCTTTTTCAGTCCTGGTTCAGTTCTGGTTTAGTCCTGCTTTAGACCTGCCTTAGACCTGCTTTAGTCCTATGACATATCATGTAAAGAGGCAGAATAACAATAAATGTTGCCTAAATAAACCCAGTTTAAAATCCACCAGAGCCAAACCTAAGTTTTTTTGATATAATTCAAGATTTACAGTGAATTTTTACATCACTAAATATATTGGCGATTATATCGGCTATCGGCAGCTCCAACTCCCATTATATCGGTTTCATATCGGCCACAACAAAATCCATATCGGTCGGGCTCTACTTTCGGCATTACAACATGACATCAAAAGGTGGAAATATTTTCCGTTTGAGAGAAGAACTCGGCCTAAATATGCAGGGTTTGTGTGTTAAAAGTGTGAATGAAACAAAACACAACTCCTGGTAATTTTGTGATGAGGAAACATTATGAGATCAGAAAAAAGCGTAATGTGGGGCCTCTAAGCTAAAATGTTACCATATTATTTTACTACAGGCATGTTTTGAGCTTGTGATTTTGCGCAGAGGTAAATTCCTTTGCTCTGACTTAGTTGTTGTTTACATTTCACAGATTTATAGAGGATTCACTTTTATGTCCACACATGCACTTGCTTTTGGAATAAATGCTTTTGTTTCTCCCTCCGCACATTTAAGCACTATAATTTAACCACAGACTCACTGCTCAAGTCTGTGGTTTTCTTTACAAGGAGGTGGATCTCTCTGTTTGAGCAATGATTTCACTGACTCATGGTTTATGTGGAAATGCAAAGTATTCTCTTGTCACTTAAAAATAACTATACACAATAAACAACACTGCAAAAAGTATCCAAAAACGTATTTTCTTTTATTGTGGCATATATAGACCTACTATTTGTTTCAGCTCTTAGGGTCGCAATGAGACCATTGTGTGCTGTGTCAGTTTTTAAAGCATTTTCTTTTTTCCTCAACTTACCAGAAAGTGTGTTGTTGTTGGCAGCTTAACAAAACTCCGCTCTGCCCTCTAAAAATTGAGAAACGCATGTTCAAACTCATTGCGAATTGTGAATGTACAAGGAAAATGAGGAATAACTTTGGACAACTGTAAACAGTTAAAATTAACTTGTTGTGTTTTTTAAAGGTGCACCATGTAACTTTTTGGTTAAAGGTCTGTCACATAGACAGTGTAAAAGAACTAAGCAAGTGTGATGTCACCCGTAGAGTTCAGCTCCGGTCAAATGAAGCTCCCGATGCTCATGCTTACAGGAGCGAATTTGGACCCAGGCTCCATATTTGGAAATCTGATCGCGAATATCTTAGCAACAACAAGAGCCAATCGTGATAGAGGTCATAAAATGTGCCCGCCCCTTCTCACCAGAAAGCGGAAAGGGGGCTTACCATATTTTCCGGACTATTGAGCGCACCTGATTATAAGCTGCATCAACAAAATTTTAACAAAATTTTAAAATTGTACATATATAGACTGTTCCTGAATATAAGCAGTAGGTTTCCACGTCTTCAAAAACGTTTTCAAATTCGGGCCGTCTGCTTTTCTCGGCTCTGAAAGCTTTTGTCGTCTTTTTGCATTGAGTCAGTTCGTCACGCTGCCATCGCCAAAATCTCACCATCCATTTATTGATGCTGAACTCACGTGCAGCAGCTCTGTTTCCTTCTTGGACAGCCACATCAATTGCCTTAACTTAAAAGCTGCCTCATCTGCATTTTTTCGTGTGTGCATAAAGTGCAAAATAACTGTTCAAAACACAATCAGCATCTTCCTTGACGCATCACCCCCGACTCTACCCGAGGTCTACTGCACATGTCTCCTGCAAGAGCCTCTGTCCTGTCTGTATCATGTCAGTGTCTTGCAGGAATTCAGCAGATTTCAGACTCTCTCGGGGGCGGAGTTAGTTCTATCTATCAGGTATGAGTGGATGTCCGGCTACTGACATTTGAGACGTTTCTTCTCGTCATTTAGACATACGGGTAAGATGGATCACACTCACTAATGTTCATTTAGCATCTTAACTTATTTGATCACACGGCGATTGTTAGTCTCAATAACCTTAGATTCATGTGTAACTTCACACACAGCAGCGTTTTCTGCACTCAGGCTGCGCGCATCCGCTGTGTTGCCAAACCATAGACCGTTTATATGAATGGACAATTTGCCAAACAAAGAATTCGTCCATATATTCACCACATTGTTTTATTAGCTGTAAGGTTCAAAGTGTGGGAAAAAAGTAGCGGCTTATAGTTTGTAATTTATGGTACTTAGCAACGAAACACACCAGCTGTCAATGAAGGTGTCCTGATTGGTTTGTTATTCATGTTCATTTCCTGATTTAGGGACAAAATAATGAAATGAAAAATTCAGGATTATGTACAGTGGGTTAATATGAACATTTTAAGACCAAAATGTCGAGGTTCACTGCAGCAGGTAGAGAAAGAGGAGCCACAAGATCCTAATGTAAGCCAATCAGAGCCAGAGTCAGAAGAAGTATTTCCGCACAATGGCAGAAGGTTCCGCAGTATGACATTAAACAGCTCTACCTTACATTTATTCAATTACAGGTGGTTTTATCGCTCAAAAATACCTAGAAAGACAGGCATTCTGACTCTCCACAGATCTGACCTGTAACTTGGTCTGGTTTGGTCTCCATGAAGATACAAAGGTTTAATATCATACTGTGAAACATTCAATAACATCTCTGTGAAGAAAAGCAATTGAAGGAGCCTCTACCAAAAAAGTTACACCATTGACATTTAAGTTAAAGGTTGTATAGAGGATTTTCCAAGGAATGAGAAATCCAGCGACTGTTTGTCCTTTTTCAAATGTTGCGCATGCGTGAAACCACCCCCCCTCCCCCACAGTTCCCTACGTAGAAACGCCTCCTCCCTCCTCCACCTTACGCCAGAAACAGGTTTGTTTACAGCCGGTGCGCCCTTTTGAATAGCGACTGTTGCTGCTGTGCCTGCTGCTGCCGCCTATTAACACAAACATCGCAAGCAGACATACATATTGTTCCCACCCAAAATCAAACTATGGTAACTTATCTACACTTAAACCGAATTGAACCAGGTCAAACCAGGACTAAACACAATTCTATACTTAAAACCAGTCTTAGATGAACCGTCGGAGAATTTGTTTGTGAAGTAAACGTTTTCCATCCAGGCTAATGACATTTAGCATGCTGTTGCGAGTTAGAATTTCCTGTGCAGTATAAGATTTACAGTTACACTACAATCCTATTTTTTTTGATAACACTATATATTTTTTGTAGTTTTCCTTTTCTGTTTGTACTACAAATGGTCGGGCAATAATCATTGTTATACTTCGCGTTGACACGCGGCTGTGGTTTATAGTAGAGCGTGGGTGAGCCACGCGCTTCTTGATCATGGAGTTCAAAGATAGACCAGGACCTTCTTCAACGTCAGGAGACAGCGTGAGAGGAACGTCTGCCGCGACAGAGCAGGAAAAACTGGAGGAAAAAAAGAAAGGAAAAAAATGCCATATACTACATAATTTGACCGAGGAGGACCTAACCAGGGTCCAAAATCTTCGAGTTCAGAGGATTGCTAGTGATCGGGTATGTTTCAGCAGTACATTACTCCCCATTAGTATTAAATTGAATCTTTTATTATATACAAATAAAAATAAAATCACATTAGCATGATGCCTGTCCTTGTTTAGACAAGACATAGGCCACTTTAAATTATTTTACTTTGCTGCATTATTGTTAGTTTAAAAAAAGTAATAACTGTGACTTTCATGTGTATTTACAGGCTAGGATTCAGAGACTGAGCCTCAATGAATCTCACCTGCTGCTGGAACGGTGCCTCAACCGTGAGCCCAGTCTCCTTTTTGATTTGTTGGACACTGATCCCAATCCAGAAGACCCCCCTCCTCTACAAACTCTGAGCCGGTGTGTCTGCGGAAAGTGCAGGGACATGCCTACTCTAATAGAGCGCAAGTGCTGTGGAAAGCCACCACAACACTGTATATCTTTGATGCCACACATGGACCTGTTTATTTTAGAGGATGGTGTTCTGCGACTTGCTCGCAGAATTTGGAATGACCTGCGGGCTGAGGAGGACTCTCAAGAGCTTGGAGAAAGCAATCGGGAGTTTAGATTTGCAGCCTACAGACAGTTTGTAGTGTGGAGGTACGGTATTCTTGGAAGAGGTAACAGGATAGTTATACCAAGTTGCTGTGTGTGGAAAACGTGACCGTTATAGAGATCCACATGATAATTATGTTGGCTTTGTTCCTTCAAGCCAATATGTTTTAGATTGAGTTACTATCACATATTTACTGTAACCTTGTTTTATGAGTGTGTGCAATACCAATAAATATATTTTGTTAGACATTTTCCTTTTGCTTTGTCTTCCTTTAGTAATGTCAATAATGTTCATAAAAGTAAAACAATCTTAGAAATAATATTATTTTAATAAAGAACACACACAATTTTACATCACTATACACAGTTACAGTCAGAGGTCATGCCGGTCACATGTTTTGAGTTTTATTCAGATGCTTGCCCTGTTTGGAAAAAAATAAAAGTTAGTTCATAAAAAATAACAGTATTAGCATAGTGCTGATAGATTTTTTTTCCCACTGCTACCTCTAACAAGTACTATTTACAATAGCTGTGATGAATGAAATTTTGTACTACCAGTAGATATTTGTAGAAATAAGTATATTCTATTTAAATTTGTACTTGATGTACAGCCAACTTACATAGCCCTCTGCTGACATGTTGCTGCTCCAGCTCTTGTATTGTTGGGGCAATGCCACCTGCTAGGGGCCCAAGCCTTCGTGGATCCTCGGGTCTTAATGGGTGACTATCTGCCATTCCTCTCTGGGACAAAAGCCTTGATTGGAGTATGAGTGCCTGCAGATCAGGGATGTACTTGTACTCTTTTGGGGCTTTGTATGTGTACAGACGCCACATCTTTGTCCTCTTGCTGTAAAGCTTTGCCTTTCTAGACAGAAACACACTGGTTATACACAACTGGTTATAAATTTACACCCAGCTATGTGCATTATTTTTTCAAATGTAAATGATATATAAATATATGATTGTTGTTTGGAAACACATACTGTGTGGAGCCATCCTTTTTCCTCCTGGGTCCTCTGTTTAGGTGACTGTTGTAGTCCAAAGATGCCAAGTAGACTCGTGCCTCATAAACCTTCTTGGAGAATGCAAAGCGTTTTCCAGCATACATCAAGATATGATTGTGGAATGACTCCAGCTCTGCAGTGGACCTTAGTGTGACAATATGTGTATTCAGGTCATATTTTGGTTTAAAAGTAAATTAGGACTGCAAGTATACAAATGTAACATCAGAAGTGGGTAGTTATCAGTTACATTTACTTTGAGTAAAAGTTTAGGTTAATCTTCCCCAATGATAACTCCATAATTGACAAAGCTTTGTGTTGACACTATTAAATTATTTTTTGTTCCTTCCAATTACATCAACTTGAAATTATAAATCAGAAGTTACACTCTTACAATTAATGTTGCTTGATTATTTTCCCCCTTGGATCACAACGTTGTGCTTCTCCTCACTATGGAGTAAATTTTTGGCTACTTTACCCATCTCTGTGTAACACATAAGCTTACCTAAAAGACAGGAACTTTGTGACAGTCTTCAGCCATCGTGAATCCAGCACTAAGTCACGTAGCCGCTGATGAGCCACGGAGCCCTTTGGAATCAGTGGCTTGTTCATTTCGCTTTCCAAGGGGTCATAATGGCAAGAGCCAAAGTACCATTGATGAACACCAGTCACATGGTGTAAAAGTCCAGTCCATAGGTCCTGAAGTATAAGAAATATGATTATTACTGTAATTCTTGTATGAATAATGACATTTTGTATAATCCCTCATTCATCCAGGGATGCACCTGAGTAGAAATTTCTACAGTGTAAAAAAAAAACAGATATAAAATTACATCTTTATTTTATAGTTACCATGAAGTGTTCATATGTTTCAGCTGTTTTACAGCAGTACCAGAAGTGGTTCGTTATATCCCTGTTCCAGGTGAGCAGCAAATGGCACTCCTTTTGACGTCCAGCCTAATCACACAAACAAATTAGCATACAATGTCAAAAATTAATTCATAATATAAAAATATGTATTCATTATAAAAATCAACATACAGCCAAAATCTTTTTACTCAGATTTTTAGCACCATGCCAGATATCCGGTGAGTGTTTTATTCCTTTGTCTTTCTATTCTCCACGCTCTGTAATTAAACAAATCCACAAATTATATCACTAATATTCACCGCAGACTCACTACAGAATCTTTTCAAAATATAAGCCACTTACTAAACAGTGAAGATATCTGTGAATGTGCATCAGTGCAAACTTCTTTGACTGTCAAGTCTTAGCTGTGCATTTGTCCACAGGTAGGATTAGGTAGTGTAGAAGCTGCTTCAAGAGATCATGATAGATGATGGATGCTTGTTGTCCCAAAACATCTTCCTCAGTAACAGCCATAGCAGTCTCAGGAGGGACGGCATCTTCCACTGTTTCACAGTCATCAGGCTCATCATGGACTGTTTCATCCATGTGAATCTGTGGCAATGTGTCAACACAAAATGGTTGTTTCTGTGCACCCCCAGCCCTGTGGTGTGAAAATGCAAATGTCATTAAGCTGGGTGTGACAGGAAAAGAACAATCTGATCAGTCTTGTACCCCCAAATATGTGCCAAGTAGATTCTTTGTGTTGGGGGTTGGAGTAAAACATTTCACACTCACCAAGCCAATGCCATACATACATAGGAAAAAAACACGAAGTACCTTAGACGAAAATAAGAAATGCAAGTGGTATTGTTTAGTTTTCTTAGATCTTGGCTGTAAACACATCAGAGGCATCTGAGTCCACCTCCTTTGTCTTCGTCCTCTTCAGAGGATTTTAGACTGTGTTTGAGATTCCATTTCTGGAGTCCAGGTTTCGTCATCCTAGTCAATACTAAAAGCAATCAATTATTATAATTTACAGTCAATCGACAAATGCAGGGATGTTAAAATTACATACATAGTATTTTGGAGATTGTTGAATTCTTCCTCATCTATGTCTTCTACTGGTTCATCTCTGGAGGTGGAGGGTCTGTACAACAAAACAACAGTATGTTACAATGTGAACAAATTCATACATTATAGAATGAAGTGACAGGAGGTGATTATTTTAAGGAAAGTTATAACTTATATTACCTAGCTTTTTTATATGGTTCAGAAGTTTGTTCTTCACCACTACTGCCACTGGAAAACTTTTCAACCCCTTTCATTGAAAAATCTGCCTCCCTGAAAAGTGTACACTGTTTAGAGCTGTACAAATCATTTAAGATGAAGTAATATTTTCTTGAGAAAATACTGACAATAAATATTCTTCCCCAACAAACACTGTATTGAAATAATAACCAACAAAACAGAAAATAGTAGACATAGACAAGACAAGAAATATTTTTGTAAGTAACTTACCTGTCTAAGAGCGATTCCTGCACAATAGTGGAAACCGGAGGCTGCGGGGTTCTCACCCATCGAGTCTGAGGTAGTGGCGTAGAGGTGACATTATCATAACTGCAACGACATTCAGAGTTATAATAATGTGTTGTGTGAGAGTAATGTATGCTGTGCAAAATCATTGCACCCCTAGAAAACAAGTCCTCATCGCTGCACATGACTTGTAAACAACTAACTACAGTGTTGGTTAGGCAAGGCGGAGAAGGGAGGAGCGGGGGGAGGGGGTGCGTGGATATTTCGTGCGCGGACAAGAAGTTAGGAGCAAGAGAAGAGCAGAACGGGAGAGGAGAGAGGAGAGGGAGAGGGGAGCGGTGCGAGGAGATTCCGTGCGCGGAGAAGTTAGGAGCAGGGAGAAGAGCGGAACGGGCAGCGGGGACAGGAGCAGGAAGGGGTGCAGAGATTTTTTTTTTTTTTTCTTTGCCTTGAAAATTACGTTTTCAGACATAGGATATCACATTCGTGTCCTGAAAAACGTTTGTCTAGCTCTTGGAAATAAAGTACGTTTTCATAATAAGCAGAAGTTACCTGTCCAGAAGTAATTTGGCGACCAGTGCATCAGTCTTTAGACCCTTCGTCTGCTTCAGTTGCGCCATCGCTGGAATGAATCTCCAAGAATCACCTTAGTTTGGCTTCGCAACTTTTCCCCTTGTCTTCTTCTTTCAGCGACCTCAAAAACGGACTTTCTTTTGTGGCTAACTGCTCCTGGATTCTTGTCTGCCATTGCAACAAACTTTGTGCTAACTGCGAGGAAGATATAGGTAAAAAAAAAGCCTTTAAGAACTGTTGCGTTGGTGGAGTAAACAGCGTCTGTGCGTCTTGCGTCTGTGGACTGCGTGACAGGCGTACGTAAACCACGTAACGGCAGCGCGCAGACAAGTCAGTTACGCTAGAAACGTAGGGAGATTGATTGACAGTTGATCAGCTAACAGATAACGAGGCAGTGTCGTTATCTATTGGCAAATGTTTATCTGGCCCCACCACGTCCAGAGTTGATGAATTTTTATTCTCTTTTTTTTTGGTCATCATAATTACAAGGCTACTGCATCTCTATAATGCTATCGTTGACAGTTTGAAACAAAAAAAAATCCACCATACAACAAGGTTGTATGGAGGATTTTTTTTTTGACAGTAAAAATCAGATACAGTGCTTTATTTTTTTCTGCACCCCATCTTTTCTTTAACTTGGACCAAATGTAACCATTATAAAATATCTAAACTGGCACTTAAAAACATAACTTCCTTCTTTTCACTCAACTTAAATCACACAGCTTAAGGTCATTTTCAGGTTCAGGTTAAACAGTTTGACACGTCATTTTGGAAAACAGATGTGTATGGTATTCATTGGTTTCAGTTTCCTGTTTATAGGTGCATTTTGAGCACTTTGGAACATTTAAAAGACATGGTATTTAGTTTTGAATTGTTAATTGCTACAGCAACTGTGCGAATATGTAACTGTGCTGATATACAGTACATGGCGGGATGGGGGGATCAGACCTCTCCTGATTCACATCCTCTCTTTCTCTGGGGAATGATAAAACCTCTTTATGAATGAGCTCATCTGTGCTGCCCCGGGACAGACTCCGACTCCTCACTGTCCCGTCTGAGGAGGGGGAGGTAGGAAGGGGGCGGGGGAGCCTGGAGGGTTTGGGCTCATTAGCAACAAAGACGGGTCAACGCAACGAGTGACGGAATTATGTTCGTCCGCTACTGTTGTCTCGTGCATTTACAAACCTCGCATGGACATCAAGGTTTGTAAATGTCGATTGATTTTCAAAGCAGTTATCCGCAGGTATCAGAATTATGAGACATTGGGACAGTTCTCTCAGGGATTAGCAGTTTACAACTAAATATTATATCTCTTGAATGGAAAATAGTCCTCAAAACACTCAAAACTGCTTTGTTTCAGATGACACCACACCCTTCTGAAGGCCAATATTAATTACCACATTTTTCAGAATATAAGTTGCACTTAATTTCATGGTTTGGGTGTTTCCTGCGACTTATACTCCGGTTCAACTTATATATTAAAATTTTCACACTGACAGCCTCAAGAGGCTTTAGTCTTGTGTGTCAGTATCTGCTGCTCCTGTTACTCCTCTGCCACTGTCACTTGGCTCTACTGCACATGTCTCCTGCAGAAAGAGCCTCTGTCCTGTTGTATCAATTTAGTTGAACGCCTCATTATTTCTGTACCACTGAAAATGTAACATTTAAATAAACTTATAAAGACAACCGAAACCATCCTGTCGGGATTCAGAAAGGCCGGAATAACTCTGACTGGAACTGATGCTGAGTCTGATGACAGCTACACAGAAGAGGAAGCTGCGCTCAGTTTACCTCCGGAAGTTGCAGAGTGGCTCAGAAGTGACACCGAGGATGAAGAATTGAATGGATTTAGTGATTTGGAGTGAGATGGAGAGTTTGGTAAACTTGTTCTGTTCTGTTGTTTATGTTATAGTTTATCTGAAGAACTGTTCATATGTGACGTTAACAGTCTGTTGATCTCTGTTCTATTGTTATTACTAGAACTTGACTTTCAACATGATATGTTGGTTTCTGGTCTCTGATTTTATAAATTTAATTCTCCCCAAAAAGTGCAACTTATACTCCGGAGCCACTTATAGTCCTAAAAATATGGTAATACAGATGGGAGGCAGCTAAAATGGTAATTGTTAAAATGCAAAATTATGTTGTAATACAGTGAGTTCTAGGGTTTGCTAACTGAAAATACCATGTTCAACATTTTGTGTGTTCAGCTTTTGGGTATTTCATGGCAAAATACAATGTAACCAATAGGGAAATCCGGACCCTTGCCCCTCATCTGGGAGTATGACATCGTCGTCTTTTTAAACAGGTCTATACCAGGCGTAAGAGGGCTAAATCAAGTCTATAATATGACTATATGATTACTATAGTAAGCCATGCCTAATCCAACAAAGGACAAAAGTGCATATGACAATGACTCTTGTCTCTAACTGAAATAAATACTAGAACTATAAAGATATCCATATACTACCTGAGAGAACTTGTGTACCACCAGTAGTACACTTAGTAGTTGAGTTAGTTTGAGAACCACAGGTTTAAAACTATTTAAAATATCAACAAACAATTAACAACTTTTCCATTTTAAATATTTTCCAGTTACAGCTCTTGACATGTTTTTCTCCCATCATGCCATAAAGGCTCTCCTCCATCTTAAACTGAACAACTTAGGACAGGGAGCATAAACCAGACCTAATGACCACACAGGTGTACTGTATATTATGGGACTGAGTTACATAACCATTGGTTGGTCCAGCCTTTCCCATTAGACAGTCTCTTATGTAACATCTTAGTGCAGGTAATAAATCAGGGACCAGCAGTGCCCAAGACGGGAGGGTTTATCCTGGACTTAAAGCTTTAAATCCCTCTAAATCTATACAATCAAATGACTGTCTCTATGGAGCAATGTAAACATGTCTTTGACTGAAAACAGACTTTTTGTACACCAAAAATTATGTATTTAAAGAGGCACATGTAACTTTTCAGATAGAGGGTCCACCACCTATTTGACTCCTTATATATGTTATTGCTTTTTTTTTTTTTCCTAGGATGTTCTACAGTATGACATTTCATTTTACTATCTCCATGGAAACAAGAAGGCACATCACTAGGCCAAGTACAGGTTAGATCTGTGGAAAAGTGGTGAAGCTCATAATAAGAATTAGGGGTGTGCAAAAATATCAACATATCATATCGTTTAATGTGATGATTAGGGATGGGCATGATTAATCGATTAATCGATAATTGATCATTAAGAATTTCATCGATTATGTTAATTTTAATCGACAAACTGAATGTAGGTTGCTGTGCGTAGCGTGACCAAACAGGGGTCCGTACATGTAGCTCTCTGCACTCAGAAGGAGTGAGCAAACACAAACAGTAGGTCAGTCTGCA